ATGAAATAAATAGCAAAATGATTGATAAATCGTGCTCTATATGCACAACTACCGTGCATTTGGGGCCGTTTTGGGAGAAATTAAATAATAAAGTTTAAATAATGACTGCCATTTAACAGTATGACATATAATATTGCCAGCTTGTTTTTTTGCATTAACATAGGATGTTATGAGAGAAATAGAAAAATTAGAATTTCTCAAAATCTGTACCGATGATTTTAATGAATTAAATAGCAAAAAGGATTGATAAATCGAGCTCTATATGCACAACTCTCGTGCATTTGGGGCCGTTTTGGGAGAAATTAAATAATAAAGCTTAAAATATGGCTGCCATTTAACAGTATGATATATAATATTGCAAGCTTGTTTTTTTGCATTAACATAGGATGTTATGAGAGAAATAGAAAAATGAGAATTTCTCAAAATCTGTACGGATGATTTTAATAAAATAAATAGCAAAATGATTGATAAATCGTGCTCTATATGCAAAACTACCGTGCATTTGGGGCCGTTTTGGGAGAAATTAAATAATAAAGTTTAAAATATGACTGCCATTTAACAGTATGACATATAATATTGCCAGCTTGTTTTTATGCATTAACATAGGATGTTATGAGAGAAATAGAAAAATGAGAATTTCTCAAAATCTGTACCGATGATTTTAATGAAATAAATAGCAAAATGATTGAAAAATCGTGCTCTATATGCACAACTACCGTGCATTTGGGGCTGTTTTGGGAGAAATTAAATAATAAAGTTTAAAATATGGTTGCCATTTAACAGTATGATATATAATATTGTCAGCTTGTTTTTTTGCATTAACATAAAATAGAAAAATGAGAATTTCTCAAAATCTGTACCGATGATTTTAATGAAATAAATAGCAACATGATTGATAAATCGAGCTCTATATGCACAACTACCGTGCATTTGGGGCCGTTTTCGGAGAAATTAAATAATAAAGTTTAAAATATGGCTGTCATTTAACAGTATGATATATAATATTGCCAGCTTGTTTTTTTCCATTAACATAAATAGAAAAATGAGAATTTCTCAAAATCTGTACCGATGATTTTAATGAAATTAATAGCAAAATGATTGATAAATCGTGCTCTATATGCATAACTACCGTGCATTTGGGGCCGTTTGCGGAGAAATTAAATAATAAAGTTTAAAATATGGCTGCAATTTAACGTATGATATATAATATTGCCAGCTTGTTTTTTTTTGCATTAACATAGGATGTTATGAGAGAAATAGAAAAATGAGAGTTTCTCAAAATCTGTACCGATGATTTTAATGAAATAAATAGCAAAATGATTGATAAATCGTGCTCTATATGCACAACTACCGTGCATTTGGGCCCGTTTTGGGAGAAATTAAATAATAAAGTTTAAAATATGGCTGCCATTTAACAAATTGATTTCTGCATTAACATTTTTTCATCAACATAGGATGTAAGGAAAAAATTGGAAAAAGGCAATTTTCCCATAAACTGCGCTATTAAGTATGACTGAATACTTCTCATATAATTTTCTTTGACTTATTAATTTAATTTACTTTGAGTCCTTTCCATTTTTTCATGATTACATATAATTCAAATTGAATTGGTTCCCGCTCAGTTCTGTACAAAATGGTTCAACACTGATGTCAGGCAGTGATTCAGTTCATGTAGGAACTAGCAGTTCGATAGACTTTTTGAATGAACTACATGAGGTTGGCTTACAATTAATTAATTTTCTCAAAATCTGTACTGTCCATTTACTTAAAATTAGTGCCCAAAGCTTCTTAAAATATGTATCTACAAGAGGGTATACCGTGCATTGAGGGCCATTGTCTCTGAGCTAAGAAATAAGGGCTCGAAAACAAGGTTGGGAGAAATTTAATAATAAAGTTTAAAATATGGCTGCCATTTAACAGTACGATATATAATATTGCCAGCTTGTTTTTTTGCATTAACATAGGATGTTATGAGAGAAATAGAAAAATTAGATTTTCCAAAATCTGCACCAATGATTTTAATGAAATAAATAGCAAAATGATTGATAAATCGTGCTCTCTATGCACAACTACCGTGCATTTGGGGCCGTTTTGGGAGAAATTAAATAATAAAGTTTAAAATATGGTTGCCATTTAACAGTATGATATATAATATTGCAAGCTTGTTATTTTTGCATTAACATAGGATGTTATGAGAGAAATAGAAAAATTAGATTTTCCAAAATCTGTACCAATGATTTTAATGAAATAAATAGCAAAATGATTGATAAATCGTGCTCTATATGCACAACTACCGTGCATTTGGGGCCGTTTTCGGAGAAATTAAATAATAAAGTTTAAAATATGGCTGCCATTTAACGTATGATATATAATATTGCCAGCTTGTTTTTTTGCATTAACATAGGATGTTATGAGAGAAATAGAAAAATGAGAATTTCTCAAAATCTGTACCGATGATTTTAATGAAATAAATAGCAAAATGATTGATAAATCGTGCTCTATATGCACAACTCTCGTGCATTTGGGGCCGTTTTCAGAGAAATTAAATAATAAAGTTTAAAATATGGCTGTCATTTAAGAGTATGATATATAATATTGGCAGCTTGTTTTTTTGCATTAACATAAAATAGAAAAATGAGAATTTCTCAAAATCTGTACCGATGATTTTAATGAAATAAATAGCAAAATGATTGATAAATCGTGCTCTATATGCATAACTACCGTGCATTTGGGGCCGTTTTTTGGAGAAATTAAATAATAAAATTTAAAATATGGCTGCCATTTAACAGTATGATAAATAATATTGCCAGCTTGTTTTTTTGCATTAACATAGGATGTTATGAGAAAAATAGAAAAATTAGATTTTCTCAAAATCTGTACCGATGATTTTAATGAAATAAATAGCAAAATGATTGATAAATCGTGCTCTATATGCACAACTACCGTGCATTTGGGGCCGTTTTCGGAGAAATTAAATAATAAAATTTAAGATATGGCTGCAATTTAACGTATGATATATAATATTGCCAGCTTGTTTTTTTGCATTAACATAGGATGTTATGAGAGAAATAGAAAAATGAGAATTTCTCAAAATCTGTACCGATGATTTTAATGAAAGAAATAGAAAAATGATTGATAAATCGTGCTCTATATGCACAACTACCGTGTATTTGGGGCCGTTTTCGAAGAAATTAAATAATAAAGTTTAAAATATGGCTGCCATTTAAGAGTATGATATATAATATTGCAAGCTTGTTTTTTTGCATTAACATAGGATGTTATGAGAGAAATAGAAAAATGAGAATTTCTCAAAATCTGTACCGATGATTTTAATGAAATAAATAGCAAAATGATTGATAAATCGTGCTCTATATGTACAACTACCGTGCATTTGGGGCCGTTTTCAGAGAAATGAAATAATAAAGTTTAAAATATGGCTGCCATTTAACAAATTGATTTCTGCATTAACATTTTTGTATCAACATAGGATGTAAGGAAAAAATTGGAAAAAGGCAATTTTTCCATAAACTGCGCTATTAAGTATGACTTAATACTTCTCATATAATTTTCTTTGACTTATTAATTTAATTTACTTTGAGTCCTTTCCCTTTTTTCATGATTACATATAATTCAAATTTAGTTGGTTCCCGCTCAGTTCTGTACAAAATTGTTCAACACTGATGTCAGGCAGTGATTCAGTTCACGTAGGAACTAGCAGTTCGATAGACTTTTTGAATGAACTATATGAGGTTGGCTTACAATTAATTAATTTTCTCAAAATCTGTACTGTCCATTTACTTAAAATTAGTGCCCAAAGCTTCTTAAAATATGTATCTACAAGAGGGTATACCGTGCATTGAGGGCCATTGTCTCTGAGCTAAGAAATAAGGGCTCGAAAACAAGGTTGATTTTCTGCGGTCATATTATATGGGGCTGACTTGGGGGTTGTTGCACTCTTTTCCAAATATCTTAAAAATGGTACCGACGATTTAAATCAAATTTTCACAGTTGCCTAGGAGAAAGTATAGGCTTTAATCGTGTATATGCGGTTTTCCGGGCCATCGTCCCTAAATTTAGATATTTATGGAATGGTGAAAACCTAATATTTTAACCCCTTATGTTACCCATATTATAAATTAAAATTCATAAATAAATGAATGTAGATAGTAAATAATTTAATTTATTGCATTTCTGCATTTAAATTTATTTGGTTTTGTGCTTAAAAACATAAATAAATGCATTTAAAAGTGACCGATTCCTTTTCCTTTTATATTTATAAGCATTTTTATTACCTTAGTTTAATTATGGAACATTTAATGTTTAATAATAATGCATCAAATATAAAATTTATTTTTTTCCTTGTATTGAGATATTGTAAGTGAGATATCGATAATAGCATGAAAATAAGAATCTAATAAAAAATGCGGCATAATTTTTTTCCAATTAAAGCAGTTATTTCCTCATAACAGTTATGCTTGTTGACCGCTTTCGTGAGTACTATCCAAACTATTTTATTAAGTTAGAGTCGTTAGTTTTAAGTTGCTTACAATTAATCGGGCATATATCGGGAATTTAAAATTAAAACAATTATTTTATATTTATAAGCATTTTTATTAACTTGGTTTATGCATCAAGTATAAAATTTATTTTTCTTCTCGTAATGTGATGTAGTGCAACACTTTGATTTACATATAAGTGAGATATCGATAATAGCATGAAAATAAGAATCTAATAAACAAATGCAGCTTAATTTTTTTCCAATTAAAACAGTTATTTCCTCATAGCAGTTATGCTTTTTGAACGCTTTCATTTTTGCAATCCATCATCAATATAATATCTCTCTCAAATCTTCACTTTAATTGCATAAATATCGACTAGTTTTTACCATAACGCGAGCAAAATGAACGCGTTTCGAGTATTCAATTTGATAGTGCAGAGCTGCCTTAAAAGTACATTTGAAGAAATGTATTGACTTGCTCGTCGCGTAACTCGAAAACTTGGCGCCATTAAATTTCTGGAAACATTGCGAGATGATGTATTTCTTAATTAAGTGCGAGCAATATTATGTATTGCATAAAAAAAAATTAAAACAGTGGAAGGAAGTAAAATGCGCATTGCAAAATTTAGCAAATGCAGTTTCGAAGCGGAGATTATTGATTCGCGAGGTAAGTTGAGCTTGACATTTCTCCCTTCAATAATTATATTTGTCTGTATATGTACTTTTATTTCATTAGAAGATCGTGAAATACTGGACCAGCAATGTCAAGAACTTAATAAGGGTATGTACATAAATCAATAACAGTTTTGTCATTTTCGCATATGCATATTTATGCAATAGTCTATATATATACAAATGTACATAGGCAATGCAATAATCGTTTTTTATACCCTTGCAAAGGGTATTATAATTTTGTCGTGAAATGTGTAACGCATAGAAGGAGACATCTCCGACCCCATAAAGTATATATATTCTTAATCAGCATCAACAGCCGAGTCGATATAGCCATGTCCGTCTGTCCGTCTGTCTGTTTCTATGCGAACTAGTCCCTCAGTTTTAAAGCTATCTTAATGAAACTTTGCAGAACTCCTTCTTTTTGTTGCACGCAGCACATATGTGAAAACCAGCTGGATCGGACCACTATATCATATAGCTACCATAGGAACGATCGGTCGAAAATTAAGTTTTTGTATGAAAAAACATTTTGTTTATTAAGATATCTTGACCAAACTCGGCATTTATTAGTTTTACTATGCTCTTCGTATATATGCCATATCCTATTAAGATCGGACCACTATATCATATAGCTGCAATGGGAACGATCGGTCGAAAATTAAGTTTTTGTATGAAAAACGTTTTGTTTATCAAGTTATCTTGACCAAACTCGGCATTTATTAGTTTTACTTTACTCTTCATATATATGCAAAATCCTATTAAGATCGGACCACTACATCATATAGCTGCCATAGGAACGATCGGTCGAAAATTAAGTTTTTGTATGAAAAAACATTTTGTTTTTCAAGATATCTTGACCAAACTCGGCATTTATTAGTTTTACTTTACTCCTCATATATGTGCCAAATCCTATTAATATCGGACCGCTAAATCATATAGCTGCCATAGGAATGATCCGTCGAAAATTAAGTTTTTGTATGAAAAAACATTTTGTTTTTCAAAATATCTTGACCAAACTCGTCATTTATTAGTGTTACTATGCTCCTCATATATATGCAAAATCCTATTTAGATCGGACCACTATATCATATAGATGGATCGGTCGAAATTAAGTTGTATGAAAAAACATTTTGTTTATCAAGATATCTTGACCAAACTCGGCATTTACTATTTTCCCGGTACTTCTTAGATAGGGGCAAAGCACTATGAGCATTATGAAAAGGTTTGGTCTGCAAGGGTATTAGATCTTTGGTGTGCCGAAGATAGCAATTTTTTCTCGTTTAATTTAAATTAAAATTAATAATACATTAAATATTTATGGACTTACTAGAAGCAGCCACTAAGTTAAATGAAAGTGAAGCAACAACGAACGATGATAAATCCGGTAAGTACAATACTAAAGTGCCTTTGAAATAAATTGATGAACATTGTCTTTTAAAAGAGGCGCCATTAGCAGCTTATAAGTCAAATACTGACACAACAAATAAAAGCAACCTGGGACAATTTGAAGCTTTCGGTATGTGTGCAATTATTAAAACTAAGCCAGGACAAAATAAAAAATCATTTGCATTACACTTCTGACAGAGTTATGTTTTGTAATGTATTTATTATTATATGTTAAGTCTTAAATATGCATAATTGTGAGTACCACAGTTTTAAGGCCAGAGTCGGAAAATATCAAAAGATTTATAGCCTTATTAGTTGTTGAAAACAATTTAATTATCATTTGTATTATGAGTTAATCATATATGCAAAATCAGATCAATTTATTATAAAAAGCTACACAAAAGACACAATCGGTCATTTCTTTTCTAGGAATAGTGTATTCTCTTGTACGCTATATGCCTCCGGACGTACAAACCTTTTTTATTATTCAAACAGTTTTTGCTAATTTGTATTTTAACTAAAGCTAACATTGTATACTGATAATACTCGCCTTATGGATTGTTACCTCATTTGTGTTCGTTCCAGCTATTTTGTGTTCGTTTTAGGTGTCTTGTGCCCGTCTTATATTAACATGTAAAATAAATAAATGTATTAATAAAATACTTATACCTTAACATAATAGACAAAGACTGGCCTCTAAATGGCTAGATTCCCCATCATAAGCATTTTATATATTTAAATCGCTTGGTAATTTTCCATATTTTATTCAAGGAGTCGATTCCAACTATACTCCGTATATAACTAATCAGTCCAGCACTTATATACTTCCAAGTTTAACTTACACAATGTAACTCCACTAAGTGATATAAGGGATTTGATTATTCCTAATTGTGCAAAACTTTTTTTGCTTGTTTTGTAATAAATTGCAATCAAAATTCGTTCGTCACTTGCATAATAATAAGCCACAAGTAAAAAAGTATTTATGTCTGTCGAAAAATGACAAAACTCGAAGATTAGTTATTAATGAGATTTGGAGTAATGACGATTAAATCGACAATATCGATGCATCGTTAAATAACGACATTTTAAAGCGAATTAACTCTAAAAACGAATATGTTGTCATATGTTGCAAGGGATGTTCTGGATTTTTTCCCCAAAAGTACAATACGCAGTCATATAAATAATTGCATAGGCGGCGATCATAAGAAAGGAACTCCTGACTTGCTTAAGCAAGGTGGCTCTAAAACCGGCTCTATGCATAAAAGTGCAAGTGACGTGCTCTTGTAAGCTAAGCCTCCTGACTTATTTAAACCGTTTTTGTTAATATATATACTTGATTTTACTCAAATTATATTTTGTTAACTGATTCGTGTTCATTCCAGCTAGTTTGTGTTCGTTTCAACTGCCTTGTGCTCGTCTTATATTTATATGTTTCTAACAAAGGTAACGAATAGTATAAATACATTTTTTTTTATATATATAAATAAAATCCTTAACATGATCAGTACAGATATACATTTTTTTTAACAATATTCATGCTGCTTAACGTTATATAAAAATGATTGTATTAAAATATAAGATGCAATAGAGACACATCCGAATGATCATAGCAAATGCCAATTAACTGCAACTGAAGTGGAGGTATACACTATGCCATATCCTTAAAGGTCTGAAAGTTGAGCAAAATAAATGTTCTTAAATATGTATATGGCACTGCTCCTAGTGCTACTATATTGAATACAAAATATTTACTTAAAATATTGAATTACGTCCATTAATAATTAAAATAGATTCCTTTTTATCTATTAATTATTAAATATATTCAAATAGATGCATCCGAATAATTTATAAACACAACTCAAAATGCATCGGCCAATAGTGGATCTTTAGGAGTTAACGACTTTGGCTCTTATTGTTTAGATTCACCGGCAAAAAATCAAAATCATTCCACGATAAACGATTCATTTCAATCGCTTAATACTAATTGTCGAGATTCCACTCAAGGATTCGATTCCAGTTATGCTCCGGATATAACTAACCGGTCCAGCATTTAAAATAATTCCAACATTAAACAAGTTTTTTCTTACACAACTTAAACTCCACTAAGTGATGTAAGGGATTTAATTATTCCAACTGCGAAAACCCAAACAAATTGTAAGAAACATTTTTGCTTATTTTGCAATAAATTGCAAACAAAATTTGCTCGTCACTTGCAGAGTGTTCATAAAAATGAGCCGCAAGTACAAAAATTTTTGTTCCTGTCGAAAAATGACAAAACTCGCAGATTACTTATTGATGAGATTAGGAAAAATGGTGATTATATCCATAATATCGATGCATCGTTAAATAACGGAACACTAATCGTGCCCCGTCAAAAGCGTGTAAACTCTAAAAACAAAGCGGTTGATTTCATATGTTGCAAGGGATGTTCCGGATTTTTCCCCAAAAGCACAATACGGAGTCATATTAATAATTGCAAAGGCAGCGATCATAAGAAAGAAACTAGTGACTTGCTTCAACAAGGTCGCTCCAAAACCGGCTTCATGCATAAAAGTGCAAATGACGTTGTGCGCACAAAAATAATGCATGTTTTAAATGATGATCCCATTTCCAGAAATCTTATATATGATGAATTGATTGTTTTATTCGCAAACGCAGAATCTATGAAGCACGGCGAACTTCAGTACGATATGATCAGAGCAAACATGAGATTGCTCAGGAGACTATTACATGAAATAAAAAAATCAGAATCTAATGAGATACAGGAACTTAAAGACGCCATTAATCCCAAACATTTGGATTTGATGATATCTTGTATCAGAAAAGTGGCTCAGTGGGACTCTTCTTCGTTGTTTTTTAAAGCACCTTCAGTTGCAACGAACCTTACAACTCTAATTAAAAAGTGCGCAGAAATATTGTGGACCCATTGCATTAAAACACAAAATCATGCAAAAAAAAAAAATTAATTAAAGATTTTCTTGTTCTATGGGTAACCGAAATTCCTCTTTTTATAAACAAAAAAAACCTATAGAGGACCAGTCAAAGAAAAAAAGAGCCCTACCAACTATTTTACCATGTAAAGAAGACATCAAAAAACTGATTATGTGATAAAAAATCGGAAAGCGCTCTTAGTGTGCTAAAAATTAAGTTTGATTTTTTATCATGGACATCGTTGATACAAAGCATTCTAATTGGCCTTCAAATTTTTAACCGCCGTAGAGCCGGTGAAATTGAAAGACTAACAATTGAGAACTATCTAACAGGGCACGCCATCAATAAAAATGTAGATAAAGAAAACTTTGAACGTCTCACGAAAGAAACTAGAGAAATCGCTCAAAAATACACAAGATTGACTATTCGTGGAAAACTCAATCGAACTGTGCCAGTGCTGCTCACACCGTTTGACAAGTATTGTATAGAAACTATTCTCAAACATCGTAAAAGAGCTGGTGTTAAAAAAAGTAATGATTACATATTTAGATGCCTAACGCCAAGCCCTTAGCAAAGCAATATGTAAGAGCTTGTCCGATTCTAAAAAAATTTGCCCAGGAATATGGGGCTCGCTGCCCAGGGGCTTTACGGAGAACGATGCTTCGAAAGCATTTAGCTACCTATACATCGATGCTTAACGTCAAAGATGTCCAAATTGATAGGCTTGCCAATTTTATGGATCATCATAAAGATATACATAAAGAAATCTACAGAATCCCTGTATCAGTAGCGGAGATAGCCGAAGTATCCCAGATGCTTATGGCAGCTCTTGGAAATAATGTTGAGGATGAAAACACAGTAGCCCTTGATTAGTTAGAAGAAAATAAGTACATAGATTCATCAAGTTTGTGGGTGATACTAAGAGTAGTTATGGTGAAAAATGTAATATCTTAACTTAACTAATAATTACTTGTCGGGCTTATTGTGAATGTTTTTACATTGTACCTGAAATCCATTTTGCAGATGATCCTTTAGAGGATTCGGAATCAGATTAATCTGAACAGCGATCAGAAAGCGACTTCCATATTTTCGATGATGAAATTGTAGAAAAATCTAATAAAAAAGGAAAGCGCCCAAGTGTAAGTATTAAATTGCAAACCTACATATTTATGTTACGTGCTTACATGAATTGCGTTTAGGCTATCCTATTTATCCTCATTGACAAAGTAAAAAGAGATATCGTGCTTGTGAAATGTCCGATCGTCTGTTCAAACGAACGCGATATTTTGCTGGCCCATTAAAGTTATATCAACGAGAAGTAAACTGCTAAAATTATATAATGACGACCACTGCGGCGTGGTAAATCGCAGAAATCGTCCTAAATAACAAACCTTATACAATCATAGAGATTGACTAACGTTTAGTTGAAGACAAAGATGTTTAACTGGGTGCGTGGCGAATGTTTAAAATTAATATCACCTAATAAATTGTTCTGGTAGGCTGTATTAAGCTGTTATTGGTCTGTGATTGAGTATTGCGATGGTTGCAACCGACTGCGACGCTTCTAATTGATTTTTATTTACTACTAAAACGTTAATCTTTTTCACACTAAATTAAATTAAACTTTATTATTTAACAGGATCATCATTTGGAAAACCATAAGAAACCGTTGGTCGAATGAAGAGCGTGAAGAAATATACCAGGCTTTTGGAGACCTGTTGCCTCTAAAAGGATTGCCGTCGCTTAAGCAATGCAACGCAGTTATAAATAATTCTACATATCTAAAATGTAGGACACCGGCGCAAGTAAAAACCATCTATCAGCGCAAGGCTAAATCAAGAAAATCAACTCCGCAAATAGATTAAATAATGAATATGTTGACCATATTTAGAACTAAATTGACTATACTTTTTCGTTTTTTTTTTATGTTAATATTAATTTATGCTAAGAATATTTGGAATTTGTTAAAAATGCATACTATAAATGTATTTATTAACGTCATTTATGTAAATTCATATTGTTAATTTTACTTTAACCTAAGATGATTTGAAACTGCATTCAAAATGTATTTGAGTTTAATTTCAACTAAGCCAGCCTGGCACTGAATTTAAAATGTATAGATTTAATAAAATATTGCTGAGTTTTATAGGCGTGAACTGGACCATATCTCATCGTTCCTGTGTCCTTATAATAGACGTTGCTTATTCAAAAATTTCTGCATCTGGCAACCCCGCGTTTTTGCTCCTAAAACTGACCTTATATATAAAGTACGTTATACGGAAATTTTTTGCTGAGAGTATTTCAAGAACTAAGCCCTTATAAAGCACGTTTCATGGTGTGTACCCAAAATAATGGTTGTATATAAAATTGCTCATAAGTCACGAGAAAATGCTTCGAAGGCCGTTAAATTTTCCCAGAGCATAATTTAGAGGCTCCATCATGAACCCCCACAGAGAAAACCCCAACTTTTTGGGGTCCCCGAAGTCGATATATATATATATATATATATATATTTGTTTTTATGTATATATATATATATGTCGGAGCATTGCTATTGTTATTGATATTGTTATTCGAATTTAAGTACAGCAACATGAATATTGTATGAGTCAAAATTAAAAGAGAGAAGAATAGAATAAACACTAAGATGAGTAACGCCATACAACAAAATACTATGCAGCTTGATTTTTTGAAAATTGAGAACGAAAACGAAATCTGCAGCATTGCGCTCTCACAGCCGAGAGAACGAAAAAGCTAAAAATAGAATTTGCTCTCAGCTTCAGCTCTATGAGGGCCGTGCAAGCAATTATGTTTGTATGCATGTGAATATACATACATAACAGCATATTTTAATGTGTTGTTATCCACTGCCCTGGAAAAGTCTCTGGCTGGCAAAGAAACAATTTTCTTAGTTTTTTAGCGCAGATTACGATCTACCCAAAATTTCTGTTGATATATGAATGCATTTTGTGAACTGAGGTTGGCTCCGTACAAAAAAATTTGTATTTTTATGTAATTTTTTATATTTGAAATTATTAATTAAATTATTATTATTTTTAAATAATACAAAATAAATTAAGGACATAAAAGTCCAAATTTGTTGTTTTCAAAGATACATTTAATTAATTTTTATTTTTCTTTTTTATTTTATTATTTTTTGTTCGAATAATAAAGAACAAAATACGCAGGGAACACCGCGAGGAGGCCATTATAATTATAATGAGGTCATAACTAAATATGACCTTCGAGTGGACTTGAATTGTTATTGTATTTTTTAGCACTCTTTTATTTCTTATTTTGAGAATAAAAATAATATCAATTTAATTTAAGGAAATTATGTAAATATTTGCATCGACTTAGAAATACATATTTTCTAAGTACACAAAGTGCATTCATATATCAACACAAATCATGATCTGCGCTAGAAAACTAACAAAATTAATTTTTTGCCAGCTAAAGCCAGAGCAGTGAATAACAACACATACATACAAATTAATATTTTAATAAAAAGGTCTTCGCGGATTTGCGTCATAAGACTTTATTTTGGTTATTTATAAAACACTAGGCCGATACGGCGTAGTGAGTGAGTTAATTTAAGCGCGAAGTCCCTGGGCCGATGTGCCTCAGTGAAAGCCGCATTAAAAACTAATTTCTTAATACACAGAATATTTTACTTAAGCTAAGCCAAAACTCGCATCACGCCACAATGTCATGGTCGGCAAGCCGACTCAGCAAAATTTTAGGCAATGACGGAAACTCTTGCAGTAAAACAAAAGTGTCCGGTTACCGCCGCTGACCATTGCAGCTATAGCGCGCTGATACAAAGTATGCAGTGTCGCAATTGCGAGGGCTGTTCCTTAACTTATGAAGCACGCGATATCCTATATTAAGTGTTATGTGTTAACTTACATACCTTAAAGGTCTTATGCATGCATAATTCACGCATACAACCAAAAGTGCACGCACGCTATTGGCTGAGACAAGAACTTTTCTTGAGCATACACTGTCCAAAAAGAAACGTGAAATCAATCTATGTGTGCTATTTTCTTTACATAGTTATTGCGCAAGAAGCGCCTTGTGTAAGAATTATATAAGTTCTTAAATTTTCCTGTAAAATTAATCGTTAATATCTAGGGTAATAAATCATTTAAATAAAGCATGTATTTCAGCTTTGCTGAAGGCAGGCTGGCGACTAACTAGCTCGTGTCTGCATCAGCAAACCGCGACTTCGGCATTCGTTCGACTTGTCTTTGGAGAACGAACAACCAGTCGGCAGGCATGCCGTACGAAGCCTCACAGGCCAGATATAAGGCCAGGCTAGAAATTTTGCGTAGCATTCAAATGTATGGGCGTTACTCATCTTAGTGGTAAAAGTACCAGTGACAAATAACAGTTACTGTTACTTGACTTTTAGGCGCGCAGTTTTTTTTTTAAATATATATAAATAAACCAATTTAAATTTAATATTGTTATGCTCTATAACAATTTATTTTTTTATTATATTAAATTTAAATATAAATCATATATATAAAGCTAAAAAAGGTTTTCATTGGCATTTAGGAACAGCAGCAATAAAGGCCAGCTTGAAAAAGAGAAACAATGAGCCCTTCTCGTGGCTCAAAAAATCCTCTTCTAAATAGCGGTAAATTTCAATAATCGCCATAATAATCGGCCAACATGTTGAATGGCTCAAAGACTTGTGTCTTTGTAAAACATTTGGCATAAAATGGAGTCTATATATTGCCTTTGTTTTGGCGTAAGCTCTTGAGCACCAAATAGAGATTTGATTGTTGATTGACGACACATTTTCTCGTGCTCTGCACAATCTTCTCCTTCCTCTTTTTCCTAATAATTTTCATCATTTAAATTGATTTGAACCATTTCAAACGCAGGATTTACTGTTGCAGCTACATTTGCCTTCTAATAAATAAATTTTCGAAAATGTTTTTATAATAAGTTAACAAAATAAACATGTGCGCAACTACGTACCTTATTTGGCATAACACATGTCGGATGCTTGCGTATGTGTTTGTGCAAATTACTTGTAGAAGTTTTATAGGAGTACTTTTCCTTGCAAATATTGCATTTTGCAAATTTGTCGTCGACAGCCTTAAATAGGGACCAAATTTCACTCGTTTTTTTAACCACTTTAAGATAAGGTAAAAACGTACGCACAAATTTAAACGGTTTTTAAGTGAGTATAGTTGCAAGTTCAAAATAACATCCAAGTACACATGATTTCCATAGCTTTATAGCCAGTACGAAAGGAACATCCTGAGTGCAGGCCTGTGAGTACAGATCAGGCAGCAACCATAAAAATTACAAACTGTGCAAGTTTTTGATAAGACATAGTAAAACAAAGATTGTATTATCTTTTTTTTTAGTTTTTACTTTTAAAAACTCAGTACAATTTCAATAAATTTGATGTACTAACGACTAAGTTATATAAAAAATAAAAATTCCTTCAATTACCAGATAGATACATATATTTTCAAAAAAATGTTCACTTATTTTCAATAGCTTCCAGGTAAAAATATATAAGATTGCTCTAGTTGGGAATGTACAGCTAGGGGATACCTCTCCTACCAACAACAAATGCCACTTTTGAATTCGACGCGTTCATACATACGGACGGACAGACAGACGCACATGGCTAGATCGACTAGGCTTTTGATGCTGAGGGGCCGAGGATTCTTCCTCCTGTCTGGTACATACAGTTGCACAAATACATTATACCCCTTTAACCCATTTGTAATGGGTTCAAGGTGTAAAGACGCAAGCACATTAAGTCAAAAAATAAAATCATACCGTTTCACGATTCCTGGAGCCATTTGAACTTTGTTTTATTAAAATATAAACAAATAATTAAATAAAAATTGTATATATATATATATATATATTATATGTATATATTATTTTTTCCAGGAAATATTTAAGTTATTTTTAAACTTTTTTTTTGTATTTATTGTGAAGATATTTCAAAATATAAATGTATGTGTATATGTTAATTAAACAGTATTAAATTCCTAACAAATTGGCGTATATAACAAAAACAAAAAAAAAATCAGCAAAATATTCAATCAAAAAAAAACTAAAACAAAAAAAAACTAAAACTCGCTGCTTAAAGTGTGAAGAATTCTGACCCTACGGCCGCTTCGACATATATATATATATATATATATATATATATATATAGGGTCAGAATTCTTCACACTTTAAGCAGCGAGTCCCGGCATCTTTGTAGGTGGCTTTTGTTTCTCTTTTCTAAATCTCGCAATGCGCAATTACGTCCGTTCGCTCAGACCATTTACTTCTGTCTGTCTACAGAAATCCTTTGCCCCGCAACGCAACGAATAATAACGAAAACCAGCCGTAACCGCTTTTGCTTCTTGCAACGCAACGAAAACCAGCCGTAACCGCTTGTCCTTCTTGCAACGCTTTCTTTGTGTCCTTACACGAATCAGCTGACAAAGAACTGCACGCACACCAACAACTCTATGCACGGGTCTCACTCAGTGAGAGAATTAACAGTTAGTCCTCTCACCGACTCTCAGTGATATAAGACAATGACAGTTTCTCTTTTTTCTCTATTCTTCTTTCTTTTAATTTCGACTCATACAATATTCATGTTGCTGTACTTACATTTGGATAACAATAACAATAACAATAGCAATGCTCCGACACCAATTCTGCCAATTGCCAATTCTGACAATTACACGTCCTCGTGTTTAAATTTATCAATTCATGTTGATATGCTCTGCTCAAGTGTTCTTTCGCCTTTATTTAAATCAATGTTAAAATAATCTTTACAACTTATTTGATAGCCAAATCATACAGATGAATGTCCAGATAGCGCACCAAGTCTACCTGTGTTTCTCGAAGAGGCTTTTTGATTATG